ACGGGCCCCTCATGGGGCTCGTCAGTGGAGCTGCAAGGCCGGCGGTGGCGGCCGGGACCGTTGGGGGCGGGGTGTGTGGCCTTATGACACACTTCCGGTGATGTCAGGGGGTGTGGCCTCATGACACACTTCCGGTGATGTCAGGGGGTATGGCATATGCTAATGAGTTATGCTAATGAGTTCCCCTAGCTCTTTTTCTACGAAACGACCCCTGGTCACCACCCTCTGCTTTGTCGGACAGTTCGCTCTCTCTCTCGCAGCTTCCGCCTTTCGTCTCGCCAGTGCCTTGTCATCCTCCTCGGCCTCTGCCTTCGTCCCCCCTTTTATTCCCCCTCTGTCTCACCTGTTTTCCCGTGTTCCGCCCTCCGACCCGCCCCCTTCTCTTATGCAGGGGCGCTGAGCCGTGGGTGTGGTTTCCTCACGGCTCTCTGTCTCCGGCCCTAGTGGTCGTGTCAGTCCCGCGTCTCTCCCTCCCCAAGCTGCTGTGGGCGGACCCTCGCGCCTGTTCTCTTCTCTGGTCTCCTGTTCTCTTCCCGAGGTGCTTCCCTGTGGGGCTGGCCGCTCCTCGGGGATGACGTCACCCAAACGATTTGGAATCGCCCCGTTGGGCCCACCCAGGGGACGCGTCGCTGCCGCGGCGGGTCGACCTCGATCTCCGGTAGGTTCCGGTGTGGTCTGGGCTGGGGCAGTTGGCAGCATCGGAGTCCCGAGTGGCGGCGGCCAGCCCTGGGATGGCTTGCCCTCGGGACACATATTATGGGGGGGGGGGTTGGTCAGGGAAATCCCACCAATCCCATAAACCTTCGCTTCCAGTGTCAGATCAGAGCCTCGTGCCAGCTGAGCTTGCAGTCCAATCAGGGATTTCTGTTGGAAATATGCACAGCCCACTTCCATTCTGGGATCTCCGTGCTCATTTCACATATTTCTTGAAACCCCTGAGGAAGGAGGGCCAAACTGGCCGTTGAGCCGGACGTGCAGAACAGAGTCCTGACTACATGCGGGCCAGATTACATTCCGGTATCTCCCTGTTCAACACAGATGCCATCTTTGGTCCCAACACAGGGAGGGTCAACCCAAAGCCCCGCTTCACTCAGTTGGGTTTTCTATACGGCAGAAGACTCACCTGGTCATGCTAGACATTCCCAAAACAGATGTTATTGTTGAAGCCTGATGGAAAAATATAATGACAGCGTTAGAAGAAGAAGAAGAAAAAGAAGAAGAGGAGGAGACTGGATTTATACCCCGCCCTTCACTACCCAAAGGTGTCTCAGAGCGGCTTACAAACTCCTTTCCCTTCCCCTCCCCACAACAGACACCCTGTGAGGCAGGCGGGGCTGAGAGAGCTCTGACAGAGACTGCTCTTTTTCAAGGATAGAACTATGGCTTGCCCAAGGTCATCCAGCCAGGTGCAAGTGGAGGAGTGGGGAATCAAACCCCGTTCACCCAGATTAGAGTCCGCTGCTCTTAACCACTACAACAAACTGGAGGAGGAGGAGATTGGATTTATACCCCACCCTTCACTACCCAAAGGTGTCTCAGAGCGGCTTACAAACTCCTTTCCCTTCCCCTCCCCACAACAGACACCCTGTGAGGCAGGTGGGGCTGAGAGAGCTCTGACAGAGACTGCTCTTTTTCGAGAACAGCTATGCCAGAGTTATGGCTTGCCCAAGGTCATCCAGCCAGGTGGAAGCGGAGGAGTGGGGAATCAAACCTGCTTCTCCCAGATTAGAGTCTGTGCACTTAACCACGACACCAAACTGGCTCTAGTTTGCAGCGGGTCTAGAATGATGTCAAGCCACAGTGGCAGACTGCAAAAAGAAGAAAGAAACTGTGAGGTAACTGCGCTAGATAATGTTTCAATAATAATCACAAAATTGTACAAAAATGTGTGCAGAAAATTATATAAATATACAAGACAACAGAAAATGATGTGTTGACGATGGTCTCCGGAATGCTCTATCGTTTCGATACTATTCTTCTTCCGAGAGTGAATGAAGAATAATGCATTATACAAGCACCTTGCCCCAGGAACATTCTGTCAGAGAAATTCTTGCAATTAAGTCATGATACATCGGTGAATATTATGGATTTTTGATACCTACTAGTTGAAAAGACAGACCAAGAGTCGCTGTTTTCATTCACTCTCGGAAGAAGAATAGTATCGAAACGATAGAGCATTCCGGAGACCATCGTCAACACATCATTTTCTATTGTCTTGTATATTTATATAATTTTCTGCACACATTTTTGTACAATTTTGTGATTATTATTGAAATATTATCTAGCGCAGTTACCTCACAGTTTCTTTCTTCTTTTTGCGGTCTGTTCTGCGACTGTGGCCATCATTTTTGAGCCACAAGCCACAGTGGCAGCCAGAGGCACAGGGCGCCCAACAGAGGCAACGTCAAAACCACATTACGTTTGAAAGCAGATGCCATCAAAATAGAGAAAATAAATTGTCTGCCTTGTGAGATTCCACTAGGCCTGATAGTGTCAGGAAGTTGGCTTTGTAGTTCATTCTCAACGGAGATTCTCCAGACTGGGGGTTCCCAACACGGTGCCCGTGGGCACCATCGCGCTCACCAACACCGTTTCCGCCACCCACCAGGTTTCTGGAGGAAGTGGGTGGGTGCCAGATTTGATTGGCTGTGCAGATTTTTTTTTTAAAATGTTGCTTCGGCTGCCACCCGATCCCAGCACAAAGCATCCATACAGTGTTACTGAAGTTAAGGGGTGGCCATCATTTTGCGGCTGGTCATGCCTCCTGCAGCAGAATTCCAACCCCTGCTCCAAACTGGTGGCTGGCCACCTCGTGAGTCTTACAAAGTACTTTGCGTTCAAGTACCGCCAAGTCCCTTTGGACTTAGGCGCTAAAGACACGGGAAATTCCATGCTGAGTGCCAGAGGCCGCCCAGAGCACCATGACGGAAAATGACTCACCAAGTGGGGATGGAGGCCGATCTGATCAAAGGAATCGGAAGTGAAGACGCTCTCCTGCACTTGTTCCACTGGAGTCCTATAAAAAGAAGGCAATTTTTTCTCAAAACAACTGTTTGGCAGAATCGGCACTACGCCAGGGAGGGAAGGTTCTACCCATAGAGTAAGGAAAGTCCCTCCGCTGTAGGGCACGTATGCAGACGCTGCATTTCGGTGACAAATCAGTGTTCCCTCTAAGCTCAGTTAGTGTGAGCTAGCTCACAGTTTTTTAGCCTCTGGCTCACACGTTTTTGCCTTCGCCCAGGAAGGATGGCTCCAGAGCAAACTAATTTTATGCAGGAGCCAAATCGCTGGCTCACAACTTTAATGCCGGTAGCTCGCAACGTAGAATTTTTGCTCACAAAACTCCACAGCTTCGAGGGAGCGTCGGTGACAAGAAATATATTTCTTACATGCCCGGAAAGGAAGGTTCTACCTATAGAGTAAGGAAAGTCCCTCCACTGTATGGCATGTATGCCAATGCTGCGTTTCGGTGACAATCAATACATTTCTAACAAAGCTTGATGAACCACAATACCTCTGCAGGTCTGGGATTTCCGGGTTGTTTCTGAAGAGAGAGGACGTTTTCACCGATGGCCTGCTGCTGCTTGCACTGCTGCCCTTCCCCTCAGGCAAGGAGTTCTTGGGAGGAGACTTTGGTGGGCCCAATCCCTTGACGCCCCTTGGAGGGTCCATCGCCCATTTCTTGGCTTGGGGTGGAGGCAAGTGTAACTTCTGCTTTGGGGGCATGCCTTCCTCCAGCCACCGGAATGTTCTTTTCAGAGCCTTACGCTGCTGGAGATGTTCAGAAGCAGAGGAGGGAAAGGAACAGATTCAGGGATCAATGCACGTACCGGAAGCGAAAAGAAAGAGGCAGCCAAAGCAGTGAGGACCACGAAAAGTGGCATGTAAGACGACACAGATTTTGTCCCTGGATCCTTCGTGCTGAATTGACAAGATCTGAAAATCTTTCTTTGCAAAAAGAAAAAAAAAAGTCAGTTTCCTGGGGCTAAACAGACAGGAGGAGGCTCAATGGCTCCCATTCAGTTCAATGGGATGGCATAAGAGGGTTGCCATCTGGGAAAGGGGCATCCACCCCTCACCTCACAGACATGGCAGGGGGCAGAGTCAACAGTACCTTGCTGCCCCATGTCTTTACTCTTAAACCGTTGGTTTTTTTAACATTTTATTATCAGGATATAACAACATGTCCAATATTATAGCATTACATCATTCACAATATACCCTTTTCCCCTTTCACCCTCCCTCCCCTTCTTCAAGCTTCCCGCGGTGCTCCCACCCCCACCATTTCTTCCTCTAAGCCAAAACTTAATAGGTAACAAGTTTTTTAACTACCTTAATCTTGTATTCAACTTTATAGGCAACAATTTCTTTAACTACAATCATCTTCTATCTGACTATTTCCTCATTCTATTCTTAATAATTATCAGAGCAAAATAAATTGTTCTTAACATCCCAGTGTTTCTCTAAATATTCTTTAAAGTCCATCCAGTCTGCAAAGAATTCTTCATCTTCTTCATTATTGAGTTTTCTTGTCAATTTGTCCATTTCTGCCATAAAAAGCAACTTCCTTATCCATTCCCAAATCTCAGGTATTCGTTCTTGTTTCCGTTAAGCCAGCTGTTCTCATTCACTATTCCCAGGGGAAAGAAAACCCTTTCAGAACCACCCGGTCTCCATCCACGCACACCCCATCAAGGACCTGGCAAACTCCCCCCCCCCCCACTCATTGCAGCGCGGGGCGTAGTCTCGAAGCTTTCCTTCACCTGCTGTTCCCTTCAGAGTACACAGCGAACCCCAGCGCCCCTGTGGTTCTGGTTCCACTGGAAGTTCTCAGGCAGACACAGCACCACCGCCTTTCCCAGAGGGTGCTCTCCTCGTCTCCCTCCGCTTCTCCTCTTGGTAATCAGAGCAGCTTTCGTTTCAACGTTGCTCCGATTCAGAAAAAGGCTCATTTTAAGCAGGATCACCCCCAACTTGGCAACATGTCAGGATCGGACCTTAGCCTGACTATTGGTCATGTATTTGTAACTGTGACTCACTGATGTACACAGCTGCTCACTGTTATTAATCACCCCGCTTGAGCTCTTTTGTGCTTTAGGCTTATAATTCCCAAGCTACTTCTGCGCACCTGCAGGTGCTGTCTACGCGGTCCTCCCCTGACATTCCGGAAGGAAGGGGATTAAGACATGTATGTGTGAACTGTAGATTAGCTGCGCTAGCACCTCTGTGAAAGGAAGCCTCCTCCGCAGGGGCCAGAGAGAACTTCGCCGTTTCTAATTCTCATGGCCTTGGGTGGAAGAAGGGGGGGGGGAGGAGACATGTGCACACACACAACATTGCTTTCTACTGTGTCAGACCCAGGGTCTATCAAGGTCGGTATTGTCTACTCTGACTGGCAGCAGCTCTCCAATGTCTCAAGGAGAGGTCTTCCACATGAACTGCTGCCTGATCCTTTTAACCGGGGACGCCACGGGGATTGAACTGGGCACTGAATGAGGGACCTTGCGGCACGTCAAGGAGACCCTCTAGCAACTGAGCCACAGTCCCCACTTCACTCCCCAGTTGGGACTCACATGGGGCCTTCAATGGCTCGACAGGTAAGTTATCAAAATTAAATGAGAGCAACAGACACCCTGCTCAACTCTTCACCATGTAACATGCCACAGATGACACAACCTGTGCGTTCAGACGCGGCGTTTCAGCCGGCATAAACTGCACAGTGCAGTTTATGCCGGCTGAAACACGATCACACTCACTACCACTTCGGTTGCCCCTCCAAGTAGAAAAACGGGCTTTCTTGATCTCAGCCTCAGCAAATTAGGCTGTCCTCGGCAAATGAGGGCTGAAAAGTCACAGAGCGACGGAGTGTGTGTGTCAAACGGGAATCAAGAGTTCAACGACTTCATAGGGGGGGGGCATTCCTAGTTGGAAGATGGGGCAGAGGCAGGGATCCAGACGCCCCTCCCCTGGGGTCTTCTCGGATTAAGAAGAGGTCAGATCCATGCCCTTTTCAGATGGTGCCATTTCTTCTGAGCTTAAAAAAACAACCTCCAAACTGGAGAACACATTTTCCCCCTCCTGCGCCTTTGTAATACATTCCAACCCGACAGGAGGGGGTGGGTGGGGAATCCTCCTCCTGCCCCCCAAGCCCCCCACCCCTCCCCTGCTCACCCCACACTTCCTACCCCAGCTGCAGCCCTGCTTCCCAGCGATAGGCATTCACATGCTCCTGCCCCTTGTTCTCGAGCCCAGTTTCAGACGGAAGTGCTGCTGCTGCTTCCTTTCCCCCTCTACCCTCCGGAAAGAAGCGCTGCTCTCCAGGCACCGCCGGCCATGGGCCTTTTTAAAAAAAAAAAAAAAGGCCACGGTCGCCCAAGCGCACATCGCATACTTTTTAAAAAAATGGCGGGGGAAATCGGAAGCGGCTGTACAACGTTGGAGAGCGTTCAGACGGGGGGGACAGCGATTACAACCGTTGTACTCAGGATACCACCACTTGGGGACCTAGTGGCAGAGTACAACGGTGTAAAGCTGTTTACAACGGTTAGGGACGGAAGGCAGATGTTCGCTGTGTGAACGCCGGTTAGTACACCGATTGCAACCGGCACCTATTCCGTTGTAAATGCCCCGTCTGAACGCACCCAACATGTGATAAAAGACACCAGGGTGTGTGTGTGGGGTTTGTTTTTGTTTTTTTTACCAAGGACAGCAAAAAAGTTCAGGTCGGACATTTGTTTAAGAACATCAGAAGAGCCCTGCTGGATCAGGCCAGTGGTCCATCTAGTCCAGCATCCTGCCTCACCCAGTGGCCAACCAGTTCCTCTGGAGGGCCAACAACAGGGCAGAGACGCCGAGGTCTTCCCCCGATGGTGCGTCCTGGCTCTGGGATTTAGAAAATTAGTGCCTCTGAACGCAGAGATTCCCCTCAGTCACCCTGGCTAGGATCTACTGATAAACCTATCCTCCTTGAATGGATCTAATCCCCTTTTAAAGTTGTTTATTCCATAGCCATCACCACGGCTATTTTTGGGCAGGAACGCACAGGAATGGAGTTCCGGCTGGCTCCTGAGTTGGCCACACCCAGCAGGAACTCATTAGCATAATAGGCCACACCCAACAGCAGAAACTCATTAGGATTGGCTACATTAGGGGTGTGTGGCCTAACATGCAAAGGAGTTCCTGCTATTAAAAAAACCTCTGGGTTTGGACAACAAACAAGGTAAACAGAATAAGAAGCAAAAAGTGGGTGTGGCTGGAGGAGCACACTTCTGGTAACATGGGGGTGTGGCCTAATATGCTAATGTGCTGTGCTGTCAAGGGTGTGGCCTAATATGTTAACGAGTGTCTGCTGTTGGGTGTGGCCCATTATGCTAATGAGTTCCTGCTGGGCTTTTCCTACAAAAAAAGCCCTGGTCATCACTACATCCTCTGGCAGTGCATTCCACATTTTAATCACTCTCTGTGTAAAGCAGTATTTCCTTTTGTCTGTCCTGAACCTATTACCCATCAGCTTGATTGGATGCCCCCGAGTTCTAGTATTTTGGCAGAGAGAGAAAAATTTCTCTTTGCCAACTCTCTCCACCCCATACATAACCTCTATCTTAACTCCCCCCCCTCATCTCTTTTCTAAACTACAAACTCTTTTCCAGCTGCAATCCTAAACCCCCTTTTGAGGAATTTGGTGGAACTCAGTACTAAAGTTAACACGCATAGTAAAAGTCAGAATCTGAAAGGGAGATTTGCCAACGATTCAACTCTCCTCTGCAGCTGTGCCTTTCACAGCAGCTTGATTCGCAGGAATTAGCTGCTGGAAGTTGTCACCTCCCTCTGCAGCTACCAATCAAGCTTCTGGTGAAGCCACAGGAGCAAGGGCCAACTGAAAAGCTGGCAACCTCAAGCAACACTCAACGACACCCAAATCAGGACAAAAGGCATACTCTGGTTTCCAAAACGTCTTGCCTAAAAAACCCCAAAGGAACTCAAGTTTGCCCTCCAAAGCCAAGCTGCGCGGGCTCCTGATCCTCACAAACACCTAGGTTTGCCAGCTCCTCTTTGGGAAATACCTGGAGATTTTAGGGGTGGAGCCTCAGGAGGGCGGTGTTGGGGACATAATGTCATAGAGTCCAGCTTCCAAAGCAGCCCTTTTCTCCAGGTGAACTGATCTCTGTCGTCTGGAGATCAGCTGTGATAACGGGAGATCTCCAGCTACCACCTGGAGGATGGCAACTTTATAAACATCCCCATCACTTAATTTAAAAAAACAACCCAACAGACTCTCTCCTCCTCCTTATCTGCGAGAAAAAATACCTGCTTTCCCTTGACCGGCTGAGCCTCTGAGGATCTCCTTCGCCCCGCGGAGGCGGGAGGAGGCGAGGAGCTCACGTTGATCAGCAGCTCTTCCTCGGCCGCCATGGCTCGCCTCGGACGGGACTTCGGGAGCGAGAGCCCGGAGGAGCCCCAGGAACCAGCCGCGAACTCCGAGCTCGCCGGCCCCGAGCAGCGCTCCAGCAGCACCCACGTGCGAAAGTGGCCGACGAAGGACCCCAAACAGAGGCGGCTAAGGAGATCCCTGGCGCGCAGCGGCCGCCCAGCGCAGGGGTGGAACTTCTGCTGAGATCTCTGGTCGCGTTCTCTGAGCCTACCTCTCAGTGCTGTTGCAAGAATAAACAGTGAGGGACGAGCCCGTGTACGTATGTGCTCATTCAGGGTACTTTATTGTTGTTTCTTTCTTTTTTTCTTTTTTTAAAAAACGATTTTATTAAAAGATAAGTCAAGTATACATAAACAAGATTACTATTTAAACATTAATGCAGCCTGTAAGTGCAAATTCATTTTAACACAATGCCATCTATTAACTTGTCAGCAGGAACATCTTATTACCTTGTCACTTTCTTGTTATTT